GTTTGCTTTGTGGCCTAAAATGTGGTCTATTTTAGAAAACGTTCCATGTGCTGCTGAGAAAAACGTGTATTCTGATGCTGCTGGGTGAAATGTTCAGTAAATGTCTGTTAAGTCTAGTTGATCTATGCAGCTGTTTAGATCTGCGGTTTCTCTGTTGAGTTTTTGCCGAGTTGATCTATCTAGTGGGGAGAGTGGTGTGTTAAAATCCCCAACAATTAATGTCTTTGGATCTATATGGGATTTGAGGGAAAGTAGTGTTTCTTTGATAAATTTGGGTGCTCCATTGTTTGGCGAATAGATATTTAGAATTGTAATATCCTCCTGAAGGAGAGATCCTTTAATTAGTATGTAGTGACCTTCTTTATCTCTTCTCACGAATTTTAATTTGCAGTCTATTTTATCTGATATTAGGATTGCAACTCCCGCCTGTTTATGGGGTCCGTTTGCTTGGTAGATTTTGTTCCAGCCTTTAACATTGAAAATGTGTTTGTTTTTACGGGCAAGATGTAACTCCTGCAGGCAGCAGATAGAAGGGTCTTGTTTTTTAATCCAACTAGACAGTCTATGTCGCTTAATTGGAGAGTTCAGTCCGTTAACGTTAAGAGATAGGACTGAGAGGTATTTGGGAGTTCCTGCCATGTTATCTACCTTCTTGGGGGCTGCGAAAACTGGGTTCTTCCTATGGTTCTTGGATTCTCAGTTTGGGTGCAGTTTCTTGGCCTTTATTGTGGTCTTGTTGGTTTTCTATGTGTAGGACATCTTTAAGAATCTTTTGTAAGGCTGGTTTGGTAGAGATGTATTGTTTCAATTTTTCTTTGCTATGGAAGGTTTTTATTTGGCCTTCAGTTATGAAGGAGAGTTTAGCTGGGTACAGTATTCTTGGTTGATAGTTGTTTGTTTTTAGGGCATGGCATACATCATTCCAGGCTCTTCTTGCTTTGATTGTCTCTGCTGAGAAATCTGAGGTGTTTCTAATTGGTTTCCCTTTATAGGTGATTACCCTTTTCTCCTTGACAGCTTGAAGGATCTTTTCCTTGTTCTGAGTTGATCCTGTGTGGATTATAATGTGATGGTGGGATGTCCTATTCTGGTCTGGTCTATTTGGGGTTCTAAAGGCTTCTTGTATCTGAACAGGCCTATCTTTTTGCATGTTTGGGAAGTTCTCTGCTAGGATCCTGTTAAACAAATTTCCTAGACCATTAACTTCTGTTTCTAGGTGCTCCTCTACACCCATTATCCTTAGATTAGGCCTTCTGATGGTGTCTTCCAGGTGTTGGATAGATCTATCATATTTCTTGGACTTGTCTTGGATGGTTGTATGTTCTTTCTCTATAATATCTAGGCTGTCTTCAGTCCCTGAGATTCGATCTTCTGCATGGTCTAACCTGCTGTCAAGACTCTCTACTTTGTTTTTTATCTCTTTTCCTTCTAATTGATCAGCTTTGATGACTTCAAGTTCTTTGTTGAAGCTCTGTTTTAGGTCTTGTATGAATTTCTTTACTTCCTTAATTTGGTGTTCAGTGTTTGTCCTCAAATCACTTAGTTGATTGGTTATGGTTTCTTTGAACTCCCATTCCTTCTGTTGGGTTCCATTCAGCATTCCCTTTGTGGTCTCCCTGACTTCCTTCAGCTCTTTGTTAATGGATTCCATGAATGCCTTTAGTGATCTTTGTGTGTTCTCTACCTGGTCTCTCAATTCCTGTATTACTCTTTGATTAGCTTCCTCCCATTCGTGGGATTCCTGCAGTTCTCTTTGAGTGTTCTCAGCCTGCTCACGCCATTCCTCCCTTTCTCTTTGAGTATTCTCAAGTTGTTCACGCAAATCCTGTATCAGTTTTTGAGTAGCTTCCTCACACTTATGATATTCCTGTATAAACTTCTGGGATGCCTCCTCTCTCTCCCTATCACGCTCATACAGAGTCCTTTGTACATTTTCAAACTTCTCATTTATCATGTTTGCCAGCAGTGTTTGTAGAGCTATTTGGGAACTCTCCTCTGGATTATTCATTATCTGTTCTAACCCCTGATTATCAAGATTGGGAATTGAGATACCCGAATTTGCCATTTTTCTTTTTTTTCGGCTTACTCTGCCCATTTGAGATGAAGATAGCACCAGTTTTGTGCTAGAACACTATCTTAAGGCAACCATCAACCAAAGTTTGCATTTGTACAGTTAATAGTCTACAGATACAATCTAGTTCAACAGATACATCTATTCGACATCAAACAACTATATGTTAAAGGACTTTGAACCGCAGAGAAGAATTTGGAAAACCAGAAATTATTAGGGTTAGGGAGAGATGTGGGTAAAAAATAGGAATAGATTGGTGTGGGGAGGCACAGGGAGAGTTAACTATGTCCTAATCACAATGCAGGAAATAGGTTGGGTAGGATGCAAGTAGAGAGAGAGAGAAAAAGAAGAAAGGAAAGAGGAATAAAAAGAGACCAGAAAAAAAATAGAAATGTAAAAATTAATGTTATTATAGAGATTAAAAGACCATCTATTTAGAGAGGAATGTGAATATGTTGAGAGAAAGGGAGGGACATAGAGGAGATGTGAAAAACTTTTAAAAAATGCTTAAAATATTATATAGGTATAAAGAGGTAGTACTGCTATTAATGAATTTAAGTCTCAGAGGTTTTGAATAGAGTAATAAGTTTGTGGATTAAATGTGTACACAATGGGGGATAGGGTCTACTAGTTAACTACGGGTTTATCTGAGGATGTGCAGGACAAGAGTTAAGTCACATAAAGAAGAACAAAAGAGAGGAAAAGGTGGAAAGGGTAGGAAAGTGAGAAGAAAAGATCAGAAGTTCAGTAGAGCTAGACAAAAAACAAAAAGATAATTAAGAATGAAAGAAAAAGAGAAAGAAGACAAGAAAAGAAAGGAAAACATACATTCACGTATTCCTAAAATAAAAATTATAAGAGGAGAAAAAAAAAGTTACTGGAAAACAATTATTTTTTCAGAAGAGGCAAAAATGAAAGATTAATAAAAGTTTTAGAAAAGGAAAAAATTTTTTTTGTATATATAAGGTAACAAAAAACAAAAAAAAACAAATAAAAAAAGAAAAGAAGAAGAAGAAAAAAAAAGTTCTTTGATTTTTTTTGGGGGGGTGGAGGGGTGGGAAGAATCCTGTATCTCCCTTTTGTCTGTAACCAGAGTCTTGTTGGAGTCTCTGGTCAGCTTGAGGTCCTGTGGCTTGATTGGTTTCTTAAGTCAGTTTGTTGGAACAGGCAGAAAAATGCTCTGCTTTACCCAAGATTTTGAGATCCCCCTCCCAGGTTAGTTTACTGGGAGGATGATCTGCTTTGAGAATCACAAAAGAGGGGGATGCAGTGATGAGGCTAGGTTCTGGGTAGAGTTGAGGCCTTTCAACAAACAGTAGCTTTTCCCTGGGGCTATTTTGTGAAAAAAACTCACAGTACCCAGCCTGGAGCCATTCTCAGGGTTTCTGTTTATCAATTGATTGTGGTGGCTGCTAGAGGGAGGGGCAGCCTCTGGCTCTGGTTACCCAGTGAGGAGAGCCACTCCAATGTCTGGCGCCTGAGCTGGGTGACTTTTCCCTGGATGGAACTGAGTCTGTGAGGTCACTTCGCCATTAAGTTCTTGTGACCTGCTAAATGACTCATTTTATTCCAAGGCCTGAGTTGGAGCTAGCAGCTCCTCCGAGCTTTGTCGGTATCCAAGATGGAGATCACCGGTGCTGGGGGGAGGAGGGGTGGCCTTCCCTCCTCTGGTCCCTGAGAAGGAGTGAGGACGTCGGGCTTCTACTCACGCCGAGTCTTGGATCCTGGGTTGTCTCTGGTCTGCAAAGTGCAGGATGAAGTTGTCCGCTCCTTGTCGGTTCTTGCTGGTGTTGAGTAGAATCCGCTCGTCCGCTGCGTCTGGCTCCTTCGTCCCGGACTTTGTCTCAGGTATGACCCCGCGGCGGTGGTCGCCACAGCGACCCTGCCACCACAGCGGCAGCTGCTGGCAAGCGCTCAGATGTGTCTGCTTGGCTTCCCCTCTCTTGACTAACTCTCTGTCCTGTGATGGCACACTTGGTGTGATTCTCTGGCTTGGGACTGTTCACTGGAACTCTGAAACTGCTTTCTATGCAAGAGCTTGTTCAGATTCCAGCTTCTCCTCCACCATCTTCCCGGAACTCCCCCATAGTCAGTATATTATAATATATTGTGTTCTATGTGTTTGGTTCCTGTATTTATAGGTTGTATTATGGGCTTTAATGAAAATATCCTTCACAAAGTGAACAATGACTTACCATGATGACTCTATAGACTATTTCTATTGTTGACATCCCAGAACACATGAATAATAAGATAATATCTTTCACGCTTCTTTCCAATGTCTTTATAAAGTAAAATTATGGCAGTGCAATCAGTTCTGAGAAGTGGCCTAAAAGAAATTGAAGCTGATATGAATAATTCTTTGAAAAAATGGATTTATTTTATTCATCACAGTTAAAAACCATACTTAATATTGCATACAATTGCATATTAAATTATTAACTAAGAGTAGTTTGAATCCAATATAATAATCAAGACATAAAATTTTGTTTTATATTTGTCCCATTCTTTAGATGTATCCTTTTGAGTATATTTATAATATTTATCATACATAAAGTTAATAATTTTATTGATGTAAACAAAAATGCTTGGAATCCACCTACTCCTTTGACTATGGGTTGGCAAAGGAATAAGAAATATATGGTTTAACTGGACTTGACCGCTGAATGGGTACTGAGCTAAGATCAGGAAGGAATGAAAAGCAATTCTAAGGTTTCCTACTAGAATACTTTCCATCTGAGAGGCACAATATAAACAATGTCTGAAGGACAGGTGGTTGGCATTGAACTATTGGAAACCTCATCAGGCACAGTGTCTCTTAAGGTCACTTAGTATTTTCAAGTAAAAGAGTCTGATGGTTTGATTCTACATCCTGGAATTGATTGTCTATATACAATGTTGGATTGAATTCTTAAGATATGAATAGAAGTTAATAGTAATTTTGCCCCTTTTCCTGGGTGAGAATGATGGAGTGTCTTGCTGTGGAGTAGGTGCCTATGAACCAGCCAGGATAGGAGACAGACTCAAAGACAGGGTGGAGCCATCCATACTGTGGTAAAAGAGCTTCTGTGCTTTGTTCCAGTATGCAACCATGTTGTACATCTCCTGGGAATAGAAAAAATACTTGTTAGTAAGGAAGACTGTAGAGTGGAAGGAAATACGTTTGAAATACATCTTAGCTGCATACCTTCAGTTGCAAAGTAGGTGTTCCCTGATTTCTGTGCAGAAAAGACAGATTTTTGCCTTCAATTCCCAGGAAAACCAGATTATCTTTTTCTCCATCTTGGAATTTTGTATCTCTACATGCTATTAAGTGAAGAACATGTAAGGAAAAGTGGAGAAGATGTCAGGCTCCAAGCACAGAGAAATCTAGTCCTCTGGTCTCATTCTCAGTTATTTCTTCAAACCATAGGAAAGGGAACTTCCAGGACTCCCTCAAGCCAGTGACATGGCAAAGATCCCTTGGTTGTTTTTCTGAAACCCATTTCCTTTTTCTTCCTTCCTGCCAGAATCTCAGTTGTCATTAGGGCACATTGTTCCCCAAAAGTTAAAATAAAACTGTTACTACCATTGCAGCTACATGTGAGCATATGCTTAAATTGTGGCCCAGGAGATATAACTGGCAGTGTTTTATGGAACTTTAAATTTTTTCTAAAAAGAATTGGTTAGTTGCTGCTGCTGTTGTTGTTTGTTTATACTGGAGCTTGAATTCAAGCCTTGTATTCTTGCTTATAGCTGGTGCTCTTCAACTTGAGTCACTCCTCTACTTCTAGCTTTTTGCTGGTTAATTGGATGTAAGATTCTCTCTGATTTGTCTGGGCTGGCTTCAAATCATGATCCTCATAACTTAGTCTTCTGAGTAGCCATGAGCCACCAGTACCTGGCAACATGACTAATCTTGAAAGAGTTTCTTTACTACACTCTTCCTCAGAGAAAGCTTCCATGAGTCCCTTTCCCAGATGCACATTTTGAAGCTAGAATGGTGAGCAAACCCTGAGTGAAGCTCCCATCTCTGGCAACTGTAGTGGTCCTGGGTCTCCAGGATGTGATATCTTGAGATACATCTGGGATGGTTAGGATATTCCCATGTATCACCCCAGGTTCTATCTGGTGCAGCAAATTATTATGGCGAATCCACCATACTCATTACTTTAATCTGAGAACATTTTAGAGCCTGGCAGCAAACTTGCCCCTCTGACAACCTCTGCCATCCCATCTTTCTCCACCCTTCATCCAAAGACATCTTTAAGGGTCCTGTTTGTGGCCATCCATGCTACTTGAGATGTTTGACTCTCAAGGAACATATACTTCTGGGCTTCTGGAAGAGGATGCCAGAGCAGTTTCCTAAGATATTCATGATGAGAAGCAGTTGTTCACAGTCCTTCCTGATTTAAGATCTTCAGAGATTGATTCAATAATTATCCCTAACCAGGGATAAACAAATCACAAACCAACATTATTAAAAGAAACTCCAGTTCCTCCAGTACTCCGTACTTTGGACCAAGATCTCCCTCCAGCTACTACAAAACTGGATAAAGAGCAATGAAAGGTTTGCCACACATGGCTTCTGAGCCATGGAAGCTACCTGTGTCCAGAGGTGTCTTATTGCTTGGGATCAAGCTTCTGGCTTTAGCTTCCTCTAAGGGTTGTGAGAAGCTAGTCTAGAACCCTCAGGCTTTTGAATGAACAAGGAATGCACCTAGTCTCCTGACCCTGGATGTGCCCACTTTGGTAAGAAACCTGAGCTGACACAGAGGTCCTCTGAGACTTTGGAGAGAGCCAGGAAAGCAATACAGGTGTGTCTGCTCTGGGCCCCTAGAGAAACAAGAGCAGAGCAAGCACCAGGAAATAATAGTGAAGAAATGCAGAGGCCAGCTGCTGAGCTAAGAAGGAGAACATCTTTGCTACCACCTCAGAGGCAGAGGTGTAGCTCTCCTAACTCATGAAGGATTGTGAGGCTGTAGTCCTGATCAACTTGATCTCTGAAAAAATCAGTATACTCTTTTTAGCCATTTTGCATATACAGTGTGTCACCCTTATGTTACACAACTGTTGACAGCCTGTTTTGATAAAGGTGTAAGAGCTTTATAACACTTTAGGGGCCATGAATCTAACAGTATCCCTTAGAGATGACAAAATTTACAGTCTAGTCAACGTAGAAGCCAAATCTTTGTTTTTAGCCACTTCATGCTTTGGGTCCCAAATTCTTGCATACTTTACTAGCTGAAACACAAACTGAAACCTCCACTATATTCAGAGGTGGAGAATACCATGAGACACCTTGGAGGTTTGGGACTTTCTAATTATGAGCTAAGAATTACATGGAGCTGAGCGTCAGTGTCTCATGCCTGTAATTTAACTGCTCAGGAGGCCGAGATATAAAGGATCAAAGTTCAAATCCAGCCTGGGCAGAAAAATCTGAGAGGCTCCAGCTTCAATAAACCATCAAAAAGCCAGGCTATAGATATGCCATCTGTGACCAAGAAAGCAGAGTGAATGCAAGGCATCCTACCCCACAAAAAGAATCAGATACAGCATGCACATTGACAATGAAAGAAAATAATTATTCCTGAAACAACATTGCTGATCACCGCTAATCATTCAAACAATTATCAAACAAACAAATGGCTACTTATTCTGTTTTCATGTATCTCCCAACTACTCTACTGGTATTAGTTCCAGACTCTGAAATCTATCAGTAAGTCTTTTCCTTGGAATATTGCAATACCCTCTAACTCCTGCCTTGTTAAAATTAACAGAAGTGACAAACAGGAAGCATAAACATGGTCTTATCATTTCTTTGCTTAGCACTTCCTCATGGCTTTACTTTATACCCAAAATAATAACACACAAACCCACATGAATTGGTTTCTCTATTTTTTTTCTCTGTCTCTGACCCAGCTTAGTGGTTTTCATTGCCCTAGCTACATGGGATTCCTGCTTATTCTCCTAAATTGTTCCTATTTGGGCCACTGAATATATCCATTTAGCTCCTTATTATTGTAGTGTTGTTTAGAACTTTTTTCTTTTACGTTCTGTCGCTGTAGGTTGATGTAAGCTACTCCCGTGTTGAGTATTTTCATGATTGTGTTGAGTATTTTCATGATTGTTATTGCTGTTGAGTTTCATACAGGGTACATTTAAGGTAACTGTAAGGGATTGGATTCTTATGGGCTTGATTTTAAGATTGATATGTGGATTCAGAGAAATATTTAATATAGGCTGAATCATTTTCCACTACTTAAGTAATGTCTTTTTAATTTTTTCACCAGTACCTTGTGAATCTTTTCCAGGCCAGTTGGTAGAAACAAATATTTTTCTCACTAATCCTTTGGAATGGTGTTTTTTTTAAATCCATACCATTAGAAATAATAATTACAATACCATCAAGGGTAGAACTGAAAACTTGTGAAATACCACTATATAAAACTCTTACATCAAGCTTAAAGTGGCTTAAATTATTGGAACTTAGTCTCATTAAGAATATGTAAACCCGAGGGTAGCAAAAATATTTAATATTTAAAGATGTACAGCTAACAGGACAAATAAACCAAAAGAACAAAAAGTATTAACTGAAGAAAAGACAAGAGAAGATAAAGAATGATTGGAATCATAGAAAACAGAATGATGATGGATAGTAATCTATCTACATCAAAACTTAACTATAAATGCTATGAACATAAGAGTTAAAAGATTTTTTTCAGACTGGATAAAAATGTAAGACTTAATTATAATCACAAGACACATAAGTCACTTCAGAACTGAAAGATAAATGCTATTTTTATTCACATATACCTAAAAGGACAAAATGAGGCTTAGAGAGATTAAGTGACTCACCTAAGACCACAAGATTAGGAAGAGATGGACCTAGTATCAATACTAGCAATTTGATTCACATATCAATTAACCTTCATTCCCCAATATGGAAACCAACTGTCCAACCAACTCATTTCACAATTGTAGATTGAAGCAGTATAGTAAAAGAGATAGTAGAACTGGATATCAGGGGATCTCATTGGAAGGAGTTTATTTATACAAAGAACCCAGGGGCTACTGGAGAAGAACGAATGTATCAGGAACCACAGCAGGGACCAGCTGAGTTGTTCTAGAGAAAAGTACCATGCCACTGTGTAGCAAATATTGAACCCGGGGAAGAAATTTGAATTGCTTACTCAACATGTGATGACTTGGAGCATTCACGAGGGCCTTGCATGTCAACAGAGAGACTGTGGTGATACACAAAACAGTCTCCAGAGACCTTGGGCGGAATTGGACCTCCAATTATACCTCAGCGCCTCCTTCTCTGAGCTATACTAAGGAACATCATGGGGAGAAATACGTAAGTTGTTAATTTGGCTCATAACACAGTAGAGAAATATAAGGATGTCCATGAACAGAGGGAGGCTTGTGGGCCAGGATCTTAGCACTGTATAGGGTGTGATATGGTTTTGTTGTTGTACTTGTTGAGTCTTCTGGCACCTTCTGGACTGAGATGGGGTGGAGTGTTGTAATGGGGGCAGGAAACAGCCAGTTCTACAGGCTGGAATTTGAGGGAATGTGTGGGCACCCACAAGACAGGTGAGGCTCCAGTAGTGTACGTAACACCCACATGCAGTTTCTCTTGATTGAGTCACCAAGGGCAGGGCCATAGCCACCTCCTTACCTGAAATCCAGATGAGACCCTGCAAAACAGACCCAGGAGCTTCCCTGTCTGTAGCTAAGAGGCCTTCAAAGCACTAAGAACTCACCTTTCATGAATTTGTAGCTTGTTACTGGAACTGCTGGGCATGAAATTGAAAATAAGCTGATGTGGGAGAAAATAGTAAATGGTCAGGAAGGGTGTGGGTCTGGTTCCTCAAGCCAGTGCAAGCTGCATGTGAGATTCTGACCTCACAGGAGGGGGAGCTCTTGGCCAGGCTGCAGTGAGCATACCCCACTCCCAACATCTCCAAAGTGAATCCCTGTCTCTCATTTTCCATGTCTTTCCTCAGTTAATCCAGGCAATGAGCATCCATAGCAGATGTAGGTATAGAGTAGGTATGAGAGCTGAGGAGGAGTGGCACTTAAGAGGGTAGAATAATCACTTTTCATCTCTTGCTCTCACTCTGCTCTTCCTCTCTGCCTTGCATCTGATCTTTTTTAATACATTTCAAAATTATTATATATGTCTTTTTTGATGTATTGCAAATTTATTATATTTTTTGAATTTTTATTTTTGTTTTGTGTCAGTACTCTGAACCTTCTGAGAATTCTTGGCTTTTTTGCTCAAGGCTGGTGGTCTACTGCTTGAGTGACACCTCCACTTCCAAAATTCAT